CAGGTGCCCACCCGGAAACGCCCGGCCGAGGCGTCGCCCCAGGTGCCGCCCGTGTCGAACGCGATGTTGGCTCAGGATCCGGACTTGTCGGGCGGTGTGCCTGACTACGCCCTGGATGCGTCATCGGCTTTTGCGATGCACCATAACAACAACCATTCCTCCCACCACAACCACACTTCACCTGGCATGCCGTTTGGTCTGGATACCTACGGCCTGAGTGAAGATCCGATCCTTACTTCCGCCGGTCCCTACCAGACCCAGTTTACCTTCTCTCCCACCGAGTCCCCTATGACGTCAGGCAACCCCTTTGCCAACCTGTATGCGCACACGCCTGTCGCCTCGTCTCTCAACTCGACCGATTTCTTCTCCCCGCCGCCGTCGGGATACCAGTCTACCGCGTCGACACCGCAGCCGGCCTATGACGGTGAGCATTCGATGTTCTTCGATATGCCCTCGGTGGATGCGCGCACGCAGCGCCGGGTTCCCAACTACGTCTCGCACCGCACGTCGAATCTGTCTGCATCGCTGCAGCCGCGATATATGTTCAACCAGAACCAGGACCAGTCGCACCACACTGGCAACCACTCGTCTTCGATGCACTCGCCGGGCTATCCCATTCCTCAGCCCCAGCACGTCGATCCCACTCAAGTGCTCAACCCCAATGATTTCTCGACCGGGGCTTCGCATGCGGCCATGTTCAGCTTCGGCGCTGATTCGGACAATGAGGATGACGAGGGTAACCAGTTTTCCGACCGTGCGGGATTGACGATGCCCGGTGATTTGGATGATGGTGCGGACATGAACGGTGGCATGCAGTGGGATGCTCAGTTCCCTGGCTCCTTCCACTCGCTGCCCGGCTTCAGCGCGCAGCACCGCAAACATGTGACGATCGGGTCTGCCGACATGATGGATACCCCCAGCGAGTGGGCTCAAAGCGGCAGTCTGGGACGCACGCATGGTTCGGCCGCCTCGGTCAGCGAGGTGCGCAACCGTGAGCAGGATCCCCGGCGGCAGAAGATTGCGCGGACGACGTCGACTCCTAATACTGCACAGCTGCTGCGGCAGAGCATGAACGCCAACACTTCACACACGTCACCCAACACACCGCCAGAGTCGGGCTTGAACAGTGCCGTGCCGTCTCGGCCGGCCAGTCCGGGTGGCTCGAAGAACGGTGAGCAGAGCAGTGGCCCCACCACATGTACCAACTGCTTCACGCAGACGACCCCGTTGTGGCGGCGTAACCCTGAGGGTCAGCCGCTGTGTAACGCCTGCGGGCTGTTCCTGAAGCTGCACGGGGTGGTGCGGCCACTGTCGCTCAAGACGGACGTGATCAAGAAGCGCAACCGCAGCAGCGCCAACAGCCTGGCGGTGGGCACTTCGCGCGCGTCGAAGAAGTCGGCCCGCAAGAACTCGGTGCAGCAGACGACGGTTACGACGCCAACGTCGAGCCGGGCGCAGAGTGGTGCGACGTCGTCGGAGTCGCCGCCCGCGGTGCCGGGTGGCAGTACGTCGGGCAGAGCCGCAGGCGTGGTCCCCATCGCGGCGGCGCCTCCGAAGGCGAACCCGACGAGTTCTCCAGGACAGAGTCGGGGAACCTCGTCCGTGCAGGTGGCGCCGAAGCGTCAGCGTCGGCTGGAAAAGGCCACGGACGCGGAGGCGGGCGGCGACGACGCCAGCAAGTCGAGCACGGCGAGCGGACGGTCCAAGGTGGTGCCTCTGGCGCCGGCGATGCCCCCGGCGGCAGCCAACCCGGCCAACCACAGTATTGCGGGCGGGCAAGGAGCCAGCCAGGAATGGGAGTGGCTGACTATGAGTCTGTAAACTGTGCAGATGAGTCTGTAAAAGTTTGTGCAGACAAGTTTCACGGGATGAATCTTTTCTTGTTTCTGATGTTCCACGATAGACATGACCGCGCAGCAAAGGAGTTCTCGCTAGACGAGCAGGAGTTGGTAATATGCAAGGTAATGGTCTGCGCTGGCTGGCGGCAGGTCTAATGAGTGATGCGATTTCGGTTCTTGGGGATGCTTAGTACATGTCTAATGAAGGGGATGGATGAGCGGGAGGATTTTATTGTGTGTTTTTGCTTGATACAATCGCGTCTGTCCGGTCCATTCTGCTGTGCTGCTGCTGATTTCGATTTCTTGATTTTTCTTCTATTTCATTTTGTTATGTTTGTTTGTTTCAGAATTTGGACCGGGCAGAAGTGCGCATCTCCTTGTTTAGAGTGATTTATTTCTGCTTTGATTGTGATTGTGATTGATTGTGATTATGAATAGCTAGGTAGTCTAAGGATGGTTCAATTGAACTGACGTTATTCCCTTTTCAATCATCCCTTCATTCAAACCAGAACCGTACAGCCTGCATCACACCCATGAAATGGAACCCAATGCCCACAACAACACAAACATGCCACACAACATGCGAACTACACACCTCCGTCCAGAGAGAAGTACACCACCGCTCAGGGAATCGCATCTACTTACCATCACATCAATCCTCATTAGCATTCTACCCATGACAGACATATACTTAATATTAAATGAAAGAGAAACATACCAGATAGACCCAAACACCTAGAAGAATCACCACCCCTTCAGAGACATACCATCCCACCCCGACAGATAGGAGATATTCCCCGCCGTGGAGGAGATAGCCATGGAATATGGGTATGACTGCCGATATGGCGGGGAGTAACAATGATATAATCCGTAATGTATTGTATTCCGGGGATGATGTGTATCGTGAGGGTAGTAGTAGATGTGTTGTTATTGGGAATACAGACAGGATGAGTATCTATCCATCCATAGTATATAGATGATCATAATTAGTTGCATACGTAGTACATACCCATACCCATAACCATAACCATGACCATACTAGCAGCAATAATACTGTATGTACCATGGAATACTAGATAGATAGGTAGGGTAGGGTACTTACGAAGAATATGTACCCATTCCTCGTGGGTGTATCAGCGTAGAACCCGAAATATATCCCCGTGATGTAGTTCACAACGATGAGGAGGATTATGCCTAGTTGATCGAGACGGAGGTACAAGTTTGATGATGATAGTTTGTCTGGTGATTTTTGTTCGTGCATGTGGTAGAGGGATGAGAGGAGGAGGGTGAGGGTTGTTGTGTGGGTGTTTAGGTGGAGGATGGTTTGGGTTGTTGGGGGGAGGAGTAGTAGGTTTGGGATTGGGATGGGGGTGAGGAGGAGGATGAGTGCTGGGATTAGGTGTGTGTATATTGGGAGTTTGGTACGGAGGGTGGGTGGGTTGGTCATTCTGGTTGTGATTGTGATATAGTGAGTGTGGTTGTGATTGTGATATAGTGAGTGTGGTTGTGATAGTGGGTGTGGTTGTGGTGTGGGAATAGTAGAGTGAGTGTGGTGTGTTGTGTTGTGTTGTGTTGTGTTGTGTTGTGGTTGTGGTTGTAGTAGGAAGGTGCAGGTGAGGATTAGTACCATACATAATGTAGAGTATAGGGATGTAGTGTAAATTATCAACATAGCTGTAGTAGAATCATCAGTGACTGCTTCTATTATAGTTCACTACTAGGTTATATCTTGTCTGTGTAGTTGGTATTGACCAATAACATCCACCACATCACATGACACACGTGACCATATAAAAATTCATCGCATTCATACAACAACATCAACCAGCAACCACGCCCCAAACCCCCCATATCCAACATATACACCCTTCCTACCCAGAAACACAGAGTCTATACGATATAACCATGGGCTCCAGCTCCAAAAAGAAGAAGGAGAAGCAAAAGGACTTCCAAGTACCCACCCCCATCCCATCCCATCCCATACCCACCACCAAAGAACCAACCAACCAACATACTAACCATCTCACACCAGAAACCCAAGCTCAAAGTCGGCAAAGCCAAAGCCAAACCGGACAATTTCACCGACACGAGCTTCAAATCCAAAAGTAACTTTCCCCAAATCACACCCCCTTTCATCTTCAATACATCCCCTCCTAATAAAGGATGATCAGGTATAACCCTAACCCAACAATCCCTCACCCTCCACGCCCCCAGCACCACCCACCAATTCACCCACCACGTCTCCCTCTTAAACTCCAAATCCGACACTCAGCGACGTGATTCCCTCGCGCACCTAACCACCCATCTCACCTCCGCCCCCACATCCCAACCCCTCCCTATCCCCGTAAGCACCCTCCTCCCCACCCTCTCCCCCCTAATCCTGGACGCCAGCACAACCGTGCGCACCCAGCTCCTCAAGCTCCTCCGCACCCTGCCCCCAGGCGACGTGGAAGACCACGTCGCCAGCCTAATGCCGTACGTGCGCGCCGGCATGACGCATCTGGCCGCCGACATCCGCGTCACGGCCGTGGACGTCCTCTCCTGGCTGGTTGAGATTGCCGGAGAAGCCGTGGTGTCGTGCGCGGGCGGGTGGATCAAGACGCTGAATTGCTTCCTCTCTGTGCTGGGCTGGCATACCGAGGAGAGCTCTAAGTGGTCGAGTAATCGTGCGGCGTTCGGGAAGGCTGGCGCGAAGGGGAAGCCCATGGTGAAGGTTTTGGGCGTGTTGGCGGAGTTTTTGGAGGCGGGAATTGGCGAGGATGATGATGATGGGATGGAGGTGGATGGTGAGGGTGAGAGTGGGACTGGTTTTGGTGGTGGCGGTGGTGGGTTCCCGATTGTGCAGACGGATGTGCATATGGTGCCCAAGTCGGCGCAGCCGTATGTGTATTTGAATTTGTTTGGTGCGCCGAGAGATGAGGAAGGGGAGATGTATGAGACGAGGGAGGAGAGGTTCCGTGTGTTTAAGGGACGGTTTTTGGTTCCTGTTGAGCGTGGGTTGGAGAGTGCGAGGCAGGATGGCGGTGAGGTTGGTCGTGCTTCGTCGGCTGTGAGTAAGGTGTTGAAGGAGGCGAGGGGGGTGGATTGGGAGGTTTAGCTGATTTGCTGTTTCATGTTGTGTTGTGTTGTGTTGCTACGGCGTTTGGTACTGGGTTCTGTTGTTTAGAATGTGTCTATGGGTGCATTGTTATAGATTTGTTATATTGCTGGCTATATGCTTCGAAAGTATTATACTTTGGCCTTCTCGTGCATGTTGTCCAACTTTTCTTCGGATTCTCCGTCAACTTCCCGTCCGTCGTAGATTTCTTCGGCCATCACGGCCCTGTCGATAATAGCATGTCGCGCAGGAAACAGCCACGATAACCCTACATACACCACGCTGGTTCCCACGAATCCCAGCAGCCATCCAAACTGATACGGGTGGATACCCACGCCAACAGAGACACTGCTATTGACCGAGTTGATCAGTCCTGGCAGACTCGGCACCACGCCGACAATAAACGCTACAATGGCGCGCCAGTTCACGCCCCATTTCGAGTAGCGATACACCGGGTTGTTTGGCTGGTACAGAGCCAGGGTATCATACTTTCCATGTTTCAGCAGCCAAAAGTCCCACAGCATGATAGCTGCAATCGGTCCCAGGAAAATAGCATACGCTGACATGAAGTTCAGGAAGCTGTCCGCCGACTCAAGAATCTTCCATGGTACTAGAGCCCATGATAAGATACCGCAGATGATCTGGCCTCGGCGCAAATTGACGTGTCCTGGAAACAGGGCCATCAGATCGTTGGCTGCTGAGATCGAGTTGGCGGAGATGTTGACACCCAGAGAGGCCAGAGCGAATGAGAATGCTGCGAAAAAGCGGCATGCCCGACTGGACCAGTGGCTGATCAGCTCGATCGGGTCCCATGGGATTGATCCGCCGTATCTAGCGTAGCCAGCTGAGGAGGCGGCAATGCCGATGAATGAGATGAATGTAAACACGATAGGTAGCATAGGGACGTATAGAAGCTGCCACTTTGCCGTAACACGCGAGTATCGAGAAAAGTCGGACTAATAGTATTAGCCATTGCATCACTTCCCATTAGCCTACATACCTGGTTCACACTGAGGGTGGCATAGTTCCCCAAGACTGATGTCATGCTCGCCAAGAACACCCAGCTGTACTGTGACCCCGAGACAGTCGCTTTCTGCTCGAACATTGCACCTCCTCCCTCTGCCACGAACGCCCAGATCAAAATCGCAATCCATGCGATCGGCACAAGCACAGACTTGACCACAAACAGCCACCGCACTTTGTTCGGGTGGATGCAGAGAAACGGAAGTTGAAACAGCCAGAAGATGAAGTATCCGACCATGCCATTCGTTGTAATGCCCTGATCCTCAGGAATCTCGTTCTTGACCCTCAAGAAGCTAGGCCAGATGGCTCCGATCATTGCACGCACGGCGTTTCCGCCGTTGACGTTCTGAATCGCGAACCAAAACAGCGCCAAAATAACTCGAGAAATAATGGCGACGTATGATCCCCAAAATCCCCAGCTCGCCCGTGAGATCACCGGGAACGGAATGTGATAGATCGCACCGACAGCACCATTGCCCGCGATGACGAAAGACATGATGAAGAACGAAATCGCGACGATTATGAGTGATTCGCGCCAGCTCAGCCCGACTGCTATTATACTGCTAGCAAACTGCCATGTAGCTGCATTAAAGGCATCGGAGACCCAATACGCTGTACATCTGTCAGCACAGAAATAGTAACAAAGAAGGAGTCTTACAGATAAAGCTGAGCGGTCCCCATTGTCGACGATGAAAAGGAACCGGATCGAGATCGAGATTGGTCCAGCGAGAGCTTCCATCCGCAAAAGCAGAGCGCGACTGCGGCACTCGAAGATGAGGCCGGTTGAACTTCATGATTAGGTATGGTGCCACCGAGATGCGGTAGATGAAGTGGATAGAGGTTCAAGTCATCCGATACAGAAGTGCGGAAGCGAAAAAGCAATATGGTAGATCGATGTAAGGGATACGGTCGCACAAGCTGCGCTGTCTAAATGCTGGAGAAAGAAAGCTGCAGGCTGACAATCACGTTCTGCAGCTCATCTGTCTAGCCAGATAAGCTGGTGCATGATAAGCATCCCTGCTGCGATAGCCACCGCCCTACTATTGGATGCGTCGCCGAACAGACTATCTGCCCAGATTCGATAAGACGTGAATAGCGGGGTGCTCCAGAGGATGCCATTTTTGTCTGATAAGTGGTTATAGTATCACGCAAAGTAAAAGGCCTCCCACCTGACGTCAGGCACTGGCTCAACCGACAGCTTCTGCGATCGAACCGTGGTTCAAGCGTGCATGGAATGTGAGATCGGCTCGCTGTGGTATGCAGGTAGAGCTACCAGGCCTCTTTTCATTAACCATCATGATTCATCGAGTTTCTTAGTTTGCAAATCGGGTAATTTGTCTTTATTCTGCTTCTTCTTGGGTGTGATTGTACTGCTTGCGTAGTCTCCGTCTCCAGGAGTGGTGCAGTCTATAATCATGATGGTCAGCAGGCAGCATAGAGGAATCAAGGTGATTCAAAGATTGACCGACTTACAAGATCTAATGTTGCTGAGTACTCGGACGCGCCCGAAGTTGCGATAAAGCTAAGAATGGGGCGAGTGGAGATGCCAGTTTACCCCTCTCGCTGCCATCCCCCTCAGGCTGCCACGAGGAATCTCGGTTCATCCCATACAACATCGATTTGGGTTAACTGCATCACCTACCAACTGTACCACTCAACATGTCTTTCAACATCTCGCAGGCTCGTTCTCGCTTCCCCGCCTTGAATCAGGAGCAAATTTTCCTGGACAATGCAGGTCGGTTACATCCTACCCACCAGTATCGAAAACGGGGAAGTTCTAACAGCATATAGGAGGCAGCCAGGTGTTGGACACAGTGATCGAATCGTATGTCCCCCAGGCTGGTAGCTGCTAGCAAATTTCCATAACAAGTGTAGGGTGACATCATATCTTTCGAAGACCAACGTTCAATTGGGCGCAACCTACAATACTTCCAAGGTCTCAACTGCCGCTTACGATCACGGCTACGAAGCAGCAGCAAAATTCATAAATGCGAAGCCTGAAGAGGTATGAAAACCTATTCATCAATGTACAATGCTAATCCATGCAGATCTGCCTGGGTGTCTCAACAACGCAGCTCCTGCACAACCTCTCCACAGCTCTAGACTTCCAACCAGGAGACGAGCTGATCGTGTCCAAGCTGAACCATGAGGCCAATTCTGCCCCGTGGGATAGGATCGCGCGTCGTTTGGGGCTTACGGTCAAGTGGTGGGGGGCTTCAGATCCTCTAAACCCTGTTTGCGATCCTTCTGAACTGAAGCAGTTGATGTCGGAGAAGACCAGACTTGTCGCCTGTCCGCATGCTTCCAATATCACAGGATCCATCACAAACGTAAAGGAGATTGCCAAGGTTGTGCATCAGGCTCCTAGGGTATGACATTTCTGCATATACTCGATCAATATCTCATAATACATAGGCTCTTCTTTGCGTTGACGGCGTCGCGCTTGCTCCACACCGCCAGGTCGACGTCAAGGATCTCGATGTCGACTTCTACGTGAGTGAAACTAGAGTGTAGGCAAACTGTGATCTAACAGCTACAGGCATTCTCGTGGTACAAAGTCTATGGTCCTCACATCGCCCAGCTGTATGCCTCGTCGCGAATCCATGACCAGATAACTCCTCTGTGCCACTACTTCAAATCCACAGAAACTCTCGATCTCATGCTGAACCTGGCTTCCGCCAACTATGAGCTGACACAAAGCATCCCACGTGTCCTGGAATACTTCGGCTCTGATTTCTCCGCCACATGGGATGAAATCGCCACCTACGAAGAGAAGCTGCAGGAGATTCTCTTGGACTTTCTGAGAAGCAATGACCGTGTAACCATCCATGGCGAGCCTTCCGCCAACAAAGATCTGCGAGTTCCAGTGATTAGCTTCACCGTGATGGGCATTAAGAGCCAAGCGCTAGTTGAGGAGGTGGAGAAAAGAAGCCCTTTCGGGTTTCGCAGCGGACATATGTACAGCCATCGGTTGCTCAAGGACATCATCGGCTTAGACGACGTTGAGGATGGAGTTGTGCGGATCAGCATGCTTCATTACAACACTGGTCAGTTTATACCTACTCTTGACGATGGGATACTAACATCAGACAGAGCAAGAAATCACGTCACTTGTTGAGCTGCTGCGGGAGGTCATTGCAGCAATCTAGAGTCATCTTGCTAGGTGGTCATGCTCTAGCGCTGACAGCCTGTTAAGACGCACTACCATCCTCTCACATCATCTTCGTAAATAGATCTAGCAAGTGGCGATAGGCAGCAGGCATATAGGACCATGAAATTGCAGCCTTGCCTAATTTAGACCCCGATAATGAGGCGTTCATTAACCAGTCAGTTCTCGTAAGCAGCCATAGTACTCCAGAATACCACTAACCTTCTATGTTGTAGTTAGCGACAGTCCTAGTTGAACCCACGGGGTTGCATGCTAACTTTGTGAGTACACCGAGACATTTGCTGACATGACGATCAAATCGTTCTAGCTATATTAGTGCAACTAAACCATGTGATGTAACAGCCAGTCACCCCGCTCCTTGCTTTCACCACATTCTGTAGCTTTCCTCTGCTCAGCATCTGCAGTCTGACCGCTTCTGATATCACAATGGCACTCGCTTATAGCAAAGTTCCCTCGGGTACGACCGTCATCCCATCCCCTTTTCAGGTCCATGTTTCGGACGAACAAATTGAGGAGCTACAGCTCTTGGTCAAGCTGTCGAAGCTCGCACCTCCAACATACGAAGGTCTTCAGCAGGATCGTAAATATGGCATAACCAATGAATGGCTCGCCAATGCAAAGGAAGCTTGGAAGAGCTTTGACTGGTAAGATCCATCAATTGGCTGATCTCAGCAAAGCTGAAAACTGTAGGCGACCGGCCGAAAGCCGTATCAATAGCTTCCCTCAGTTCACGTATGATATCGAGGGCCTGACCATTCACTTTGTGGCTTTGTTCTCTGAGAGAAAGGATGCTATCCCTATTGTTCTTCTCCACGGCTGGCCAGGCAAGCTCACGTCGACCTTTCCATTCAGCCTATCAACTGACTCAGAACAGGCAGCTTTCTCGAGTTTCTTCCCGCTCTGACTTCGATTCGGGACAAATATAGCCCAGAAACCTTGCCATACCATATAGTGATTCCGTCGCTTCCGGGGTTCACTTTCTCATCCGGCCCTCCGCTAGGTGTCAACTTCACTGGCGTTGATACGGCCCGCGTCATCAACAAGGTGATGCTCAATCTCGGTTTCGAGGATGGCTATGTGGCACAAGGTGGAGACATTGGATCAAGGATCGGTCGCATACTTGCAGTAGATCATGAATCTTGCAAAGCCGTGCATTGTAAGCTGCCGATTGCCTCTTCGCTGTAGACGTTGTCCTCTAATCATCGTTAGTGAATGCGTGCTATATGGGCAAGCCCTCCAACGTACCAGACACCGCTATTACTGAGGAAGAGAAACGCGCGCTGGCTCGCGCTCAGTGGTTTAGTACCTATGGCAGTGGATATGCTCTCGAGCATGGTACTCGACCCAGCACGATTGGCAATGTGCTATCCACAAATCCGGTGGCTCTGCTCGCCTGGTATGCACTCCCATACACCATTTGTCAATCAACTAACGGAACATACAGGATTGGAGAGAAGTTCCTCGACTGGGCTGATGAGCCTATACCCTTGGAGACTATCCTGGAATCGGTCTCCCTGTACTGGTTTACTGAGACATTCCCCCGGTCTATCTACCACTATCGGGAAGTATGTTGACTCTACCTCCGCCTATAACCTCGTAAACATACTCACCCTGACCCAGAACGTCCCGCCGCCCAAGCTGAGACAGGCCGAAGACCCCCGATGGTACATCCGCAAGCCATTTGGTTTTTCATATTATCCGAAGGAGCTTGTACCCACCCCACGCGCTTGGGTTGAGACAACAGGAAATTTGGTGTTCTGGCAAGCTCACGAGAAGGTATGCTTACCAAGTCTTGCTGGCGGCATCTGGCGGCATCTGCTGACACGCCACAGGGCGGACATTTTGCAGCGTTGGAAAGGCCACAGGACTTCCTTGATGATTTGACGGCGTTCTGTGGACAAGTATGGGCTGGAAGAAATTGAGATGGTGCCACGATTACCGTGGATCGTCTATAGCATGCTCGGAAGGCTGCATCAGTCCAATAGCGTTATGCGAATCAGACACTAAGGCTTGTCTCGGATGTAGTTGTATATATCGCTCATAATAGAGCTCTCCATCTGAATGGACACCCATCTAGCGAGAGTCTACGGCATATTGTTAGCTGAGTTTTGACTACAACCGGATTGGACCCCTCTCCCACCGAAAGTCATGATGAGATGATCCTCGTGGCTTTGTCGGTACTTTTCATCAATACAAAGTTTGTGCATTCCCGTGATGGCTGGCATATCTCCGACCCTCCCTCCTTGCCTATTTTTTTTCTTTCACATCGTGTGACCTCATCCTTCGCTCAAAGCACCACCCCCCAGAACAAGATACCAAAGCTCACCAGTCATTTATCCAGTATCCTGGCCCGTGGTACCTCGTTTAAAGGGAGTACCTCCTGTCGCCCGCATGGACCGGCATTAGTCTGCATCCTTCATGCGAGTTCCCCAAAGAGGGGTTGCCAGTAAGGTTCTTTCCATCCCGTTCTAGACGGCGGAACTGCTTGCTGCCTCGTCCGTAGCCTTTGACAGTCCTACAAAAGGATTTGCTATCCTGCGGGATCCGGAGAGAAGTTGTCTGCGCTGATTTGTTGTATTGTCGCCGGTTGCCAATTTAGTCTTTCGGTTGATGCGTATAACCAACACTCCGAGCGTAACGGTACTTTTTGTGACGGGCTGTTTTAAGTTGTTTGAACTTTTGACTTGGATTGCAGATAGTGTTTTTTTCCCCTCTAGCAAGGTTTGAGGTTGGCGTCTTTAATGCAAGGCTACTAGTAGTATACTACTTACCATTATAGTACTACTATCTCGCATTCACAGTATTTACAGTTCTGACCGGGATGGTGATATTAACTTCACATCCGTTTGACAGAATATATTTTCCTGCTGTTGCCAAAGCCTGAAACATGACCGAACAGGCTTTGACAGAGCTAAACTTTTCACACATGCCGTCTGAGCCTAAACAGATGACACCGTCCGGTCGAGACTTTAGTCTGACCGTGACTCCTCATTTCTGACCTCTACCTACTATGTGTCCATCTAGATACAACGTAGTTGCTATCATCCTGACTGCCAGATGTGTCTCCAACAAACCAGCAAGTCCGAGTCGGGATCAATCGGGAGGGTGGGGCTTTCCAGCGACAGCCGGGCCAACCAGCGAAGCCAAAGTGGGCAACAAAAACTCACCGGGACAGCCTGATAACCCCGCGTTCATTGGGCGGTGTGGCTCCACCCTTCTTCGGCTTTGGCTGGCCTTTTTGGAGAAGTGCAAAAGGACATTCAGGTCTTTTTTTTTCTCTTGGTGGTCGGATTATCCCACAGCCACCCACGCCATGACTCAGTGTACGGGTTCTGCGGGTAGGGAAGGTCATGAGATTTGTCACTCCCAGCAGTCCAGCCAGCCTTTTGATGATTGATACTACGACTATCATATGGCCATCCTCTGCTGTCTGACCAATGGTGGTCTGCCTATTCTTAGAGTTCCACTGCCTAGTTAGTACTTACTGAGATTGATACCCAGCTTATTTTGTAAGCCAGACGCCGTTTGAACCCGGGGTTCTTAGTGACCCAACCTTGGGTGCATTATTTTAGTCAGTTATTGCATATGAACTATATAAACTACTTTGCATAGGGGAAGATTATCCTGGACCTTCTTAAAAGGGCAGGTGTGGAAGAACAGCGGAATCATGTGATGTGATTATGTAGTGCTTATGTATCCAGACTTACTCCTATGCACTCACCGGCTTAGCCGTGCATCATCATCATCATCATCGCCCACTACACAGTCTCATAATGAATGAGATGTACCCCGTAAATATCTGCTCCATTAAGGCTGTATGACTTCTACCCATCTGACGTTCCTTACACTCACACAGAACCCTTACACAACAGTTCCGAAGATGACCCTTGACGTCTTGCTGGGTCCTCGAGGTGGATACGGCTTACTTGTTAGTCCATACCATGATGTGGTTAGTTAGGCCAGGAGTCCGTAGCCTCAGACTACCCCGGAAAGGCAAACCGTAGTAGCTTTGTTCATGATCATACAATAGGCCGCGGGACGAGAGGATTGGTTGGATATAGCATCATCTACGGAGCAACGACGGAGGCTACTACTAAGTCGTATTAAGTCCCAAGTAGGCGAACTAATTAGACGGCGCTTGTCGATGGTTGCTTCACTATCACTGGTTCTTTTTTTCTTCCTTTGCATCTTTGCTGCCTGGACTCACCACCCTGGTTACCTAATCTTACTGCGACCGGGGGCGGTTCCACAGCCAGTTGTTCGTCCTGGCTCCAGCATATGGTACAGTAGCGCTCCCGTGGTCGCGGTCTGTTACTTTTTGTGCTCTCTGCATCAGGTCATGTTCATCCCCCTCAAGCGACCATGTAAGATGAGCAAAATAAGACGGGGCACAAGGGAAAGGGGGATAAGTTGAGATGTGATGGCTGCATAGCCAGCAGGCTGTGTTTGTGCAGTTCAGTTTCAGCAGCCCCATCCAGAACTCCTTTCCCCTTTCCAGCAACCAAGTCTGGGCGGAAAACAAGAATAGTAGCTAAACGCCCCAAAATGACGACGACAAAATTTTAAGGCAGGAGACAGGGAGGAGAGAATAATCTCCTCGAGTCCATTTTTCGCCATGTATGTACGTGTCACTGCCTCAAGCAGAGCTTTTTTCCACTTTTCCCATTCCCCCATTTCTGACGGTGGTGGCGTGGCTGGCAAATCCGTCCGCGGTGGTTGGCTGACCACCACCAATTTTCGCTGGGCCATTGACGGAAGCGGCAGGCCTCTCCCTCCCAATGAGAAGGGATCGTTCATTTTATGTTACACTGGGGCCGGTGCTTATGGACCAACTTACATACATCCCTCCGTACATAGACGACATCCCTTGTTACCCTTTTTGTTTCTTTTTTTCTTTAACTAAAATCTATGACAGCCCGGTTTCATCGCTTCATCTATTGGATTATGCTTATTCTGGGATGAGACAAGACGTCAACCATACATCCACCCATACCAGTAGCAGATGGAACGGGCGGCAGCTGCCTTGCAGTACAACTTCAGCTGCGTACGTCAAAAGCAGCTGCCCGTGCTGGTTTCTGCTCTATCATGTATCTTTCTTTTCACAGCCAGGGTTGACAACCATGTAGGACAACAGCCACTGTCACTGTCATAAGCACCTAAATGCGCGCGCTGTCTCTAGGCGATAAACCGCAGATAGTCTAGTACCCGGATCGGCTGTGCAATAGTCGCGCGGAGGGAAAAGAGACCATCCCTCCCCCTTATCAGACTACGAGATCTAATAGTGTTATCGGGCTCTGCGACGTCGTATTATCTATCTACATAATGACAGTTACTATCTTATGTTCGATACCCTTTGGGACGGCTTCGGTAATGGCCATAACTGGAATCGGATCAGGGTGGATTTGGAATCTTAGTCATGCGACGTGAGAGAAAAGAAAGGCAAGAAAAGTGCCGGCGCTGTGTTGTTTGTAGGACCATGAAAAAGTGACATGGGATACGAAATCTTGAGAAGTAGGCTGAAGTTGTAAGCTGTGAGTCGGCAGACTCCCGACAACCATGGGGCATGGGAAGCGAAAAGAGAAGGGAGAGGAATTTTGCCTCCCAGGGCCATGAGCCATGAGATGAATACTCATGAATAATGGGAATGCTGAGAGGCGACAACCAGGAGTGGAAAGGAACCAGAGTCAAGAGTCAGAGACAGAGCCAGAACCAGAACCAGACTCCAGAACCAAAACCAGACCAAACCAAATCGAAAAAGCCTCCATGCCCAACCCGGGCCCCAGAAGTTGTCCAGTAGTGGGCAGTCCCTATCTCGGACGGGCGTGTGAAGAGTCATCGTTCCTCCACTCCATCCGCTCCCGTCCTGGTTCCGATCATCGTCTGCCTTCCCCTTCTACTTACTTTACTTACTCCGGGCCCTCCTCCTCCCTCTCTCCCTCTGCCAGCAGGGCTGACTGACTGTGACTGTGACTAGACTGGACTTGATTTGACTCTTACTTTGCCATCTCTTACCCTCTCTCGCCCTTCACTCACTAATATTCCTCCCCTCCCCTCTTCTCTTCCTCCCCTTCCCACACGCTTGTCATCTTCTTTCTTTCTTTCACTAGAACGGAAGTGTGACTGGAGAGTGTAGAGTCATACTAGTTTCCTTGTTTAATCCTGCTTCACTTTGTATCTTGGTTCCTGTTCAGTTGTTTGGCTCGTCTGCTCTTCCCGTTGCCTCTCCGCTCACCCTTTTTCGCCCGCTTTGTGAAAGACTGTGAAGCGTGGTCCCTGCATCCGCCCAAGAGTCTCAAGACCACTTCCGCCACTCTCGCCACTGGCTGCTGCGTAAGTAAATTTCATTCCTGTCTCTCTCTCCTGCTGTTTGACTCTGTGTTGCGTCGTTCCACTCGCCTCCGGCTAGCTTCAGGTTGCCATCTCTGCCTGTGATTTAGTCTGGCCGCCACCCCAGTTAGTCACTGTCTATTGCTCCGCCCCCCGTATAGTCACCGGACTCTTGGACCCTCACCGTGAGATCCGGCGTAAGAGTCATAGACGAGCGCTAAAGTGGGGAGATACTCTTAAGATCGTTGCTGACTCGTTCCTTCTTCGCCTTCCAGTCTCCCTTGAGCCTCACCAACCTATTTATCTTCTGCCTCCGATACGACTGCTGACTGCCTGGACAAGCGCCGGTTATCTCGCCTGCTTGTTGACAGTCCGCCGCTCTATCGGCCCGTGATATAACCTCCTGCGCCTGCGCATCTCAAAATGTACCCTGTTGTTATCAAGTCTTCTGTTCCGATCACCCGTGTTGCAGACTCCTCAGATCTCCGAACCTCCGGCAAGACCGCTGCGTTTGTTTAAATAGCTTCCAGCATCTGTCACTCTAGAGGGTCACGTTGACAATATCTTACGTGTCTTCTCTGGTTACGCGATTTTCGGCTTGATCTATTCGGGACTCTCCAACTGGTGATCGGAACATTAGACGGTAAACCCCTTCTTCTTTTCCCGATTCCTTGACACGTACCACTACTTCACCGGCTTCCTCCTCATACCCACACCTACCGCCCGACTTCAACCCAACAGCATCATTTTATATCACGACCACCGTGCTAGATGACTGTTGTTCTCTCGCTTGCCTAAACTGTCCTACTATACTATATCTTCGACAACCTGGCGAATTTTCTCTCTTAAGGGTCTGCCGTCGCCTGCGATCAAAAAGACGGTTCCTTGTCTTATCGGCTACACGTTCACGGTTCACGCACAACGGTTTATTGAAAAAAACACACACGGTTTAAATTTACAGTCTCGTGTCATATCCGACGCATAGAAGGAAGGCTAGCTCAAGTTTGTTAGCCCTCTGGATGACCATTTGAGGTACTTTTGGACCTTTTCTTTTTATTTTGTCAAAAAGTATCAAGGTCGCTCGACTGGACATCATCCCGGATATGTCAGGGATTGACATTTTGGGTTTGAAGGATCCAAACCCGAACAGCCAAATCCGAACGGCTTATGCGCACCCGTATGCATCCTCGGTCTCTTCCTCCGCCTCTTCCTCGTCCTCTTCGGTCTTCTCGCTAGATGGCCTGTCCACCCAGAGTTCCATCTCCTCAACCGCGACGAACCCGGTTGATGTGATCTGGGAGAATGAAGGCGAATATCAGGCTGGAGGAAGAGCACTTGCTGCTGCAAAAGGTGCGCGCGGTTACCTAAGGGGCGTGGTCCCGAAGGCAACTGATCCTGCTATTCCGCCCGAGTTACGTAAGCATCCGCGGCGGACCAACAGTTCATGCACGCGGCCTCCGCCGTGTCTTTTGAGACAATCGGAACGGAAGGTCAACTTTGTCGATAACCTTGTCGGTAAGTCTGGGGAGCTGTCCGTTTATTATGATGTGGTTGAGGTTCAGAACTAAGTACACCGTGTGAAGACACCGCGTCGCAGATTGTTGAGGTCATTTGGCCCTTGTCGGCTGTTTCGCTGCGGAGTGATTCGGCGACTGGCTGCAAAGGCGTCTTGCCTCTGCGGACATTCATCCAGGAGACACTCCGCCGCTCCCGCACCAGCTATAGCACCCTCCAGGTGGCGCTTTACTATCTCATCAAGATCAAGCCCCACGTGCCGAGCCATGAGGCGACTCAGGACCAGGCCCGGGGCAAGCCCGTCTGCCGGGCTATGCAGTGTGGGCGGCGCATGTTTCTTGCAGCGCTAATCCTCGCATCTAAGTATCTCCAAGATCGCAACTATTCGGCTCGTGCTTGGAGTAAGATCTCAGGCTTGAACACGGCCGAGATCAACCAGAACGAACTGATGTTTCTGGAAGCGGTTAACTGGCGACTCCATATCCCCGAGTCCCTTTTTCAGCGGTGGACTGATATTGTACTGAAGTACACTCCTGGTGCTGGTAACATGGCTCTTGGGGACGGGCAATGTTGGCGTACGATCATCCCGAAGCTCACGCCTGACCTGGAAGAATTCGACGTCAGCCCCGCGACACCTACCATGCAGTCTTTTGGCTCCCGCTCGGTGTCGGACTCGCCATCTCCTCGGGGCACATCGTTCAAGAGGGATCTTCCCAGCCAAGGAACGAACGAGCCCATCAGCCTGCCCTCCATCCATGAGCAAATCGCTGCATGCGGGCGTCAAGCGCTGGAGTCGGTGACTCGTAAAGAGACCACACTTCCCTCCCTTCCGTCGCTGCCGCCCATGCCGCGGCCGGCCATGCTGCCGACACCGCAGATGACACCGCAAGCAAGCATCGCCTCCACTCCTGCAGTGAGTGCTGGCGGTATGCCTGCGCACCGCCGTTACATGCAGACTGCTATGTCCCAGGCGCAAAACATGTGCACGGCGCGGTCGATCTACGACCAGCGCCCGTCACTGCAGTTTTGCCCTCGGGCTAACACGTTTGATGGGTACCCTAACTTGGTGCGCCGGTCCTCTCTGGCCCGCTCGGCTTCCTCTGCGTCATCTCCAGATTCGATGATTTCGGATGTGTCAAGCATGTCGTCGCAGTCATCGCGATCGTCATCCATGTCATCCAGCTCTTCCACTGGTGTGTCTGCTATGCCTCGCCTGGCCGTTCAGGCAACGCTCCGATGCACTGGCAACTCCCTCAAGGAGTGCCGCAAGAATCTGACCATCGCATCCCCCATCGATGAGGGCGCACTTGGAGATATCTACAGCTCGCCCGAGACTTATGGCGGTCCTCTTGGCCAGGTTCCGGATATGTCCGGTTACTCGCTGGAGCCCCCGGTGGATCTGTCTTCTGCGCACGAGGCAGCACAGAGTCTTTGTGCACTGTCTGGTGCTGTTCCTCGCGCTCAGCAGACGATCGAGCAACAGAACGCTGGTCAGCGTGTGTGTCGCAAACGCGGCCGCACCGGATCCGAGGACATGCTGCACGGTCAAATCCGTCATCTTGTCAAGTCCAATACCTTTGCTGAAGGCACTGTACTACCTGATGGGAACATGGCGGATCTGTTCCTGAACCCCGAGGCCCGCCGTACGCAAACTCTCACCGCTTCTCAGCTGAGTGCATTGAACTACAACGTTCCGCTCTCGGGCCCCGTTGGCATGAAGCGTGCCTGCTGCGGGAGCGAAGCCAGGAAGATTGCGCTCAACCCAAGCATGCGGGCTGATTACTAGGTCTCCCAGATATCTGGACTCATTCATTTATCATTTCCTTTTCTTTGCGGAAAAGTGTTTACATTCATACCCATAATTCTATTCTGACCAAATCTGGTCTGGTTGCAACAGCAGCGGAAGAGACGCAGACCAGTAGGGAAAAGTTTTGTGCGAACTTTCTCAGGTGATTCACGCGTTTGGGGAAAGCAAAAGTCGTCTTTGTATATACCCTGCAGCTGTTGTTGATTCGGGGAGGCTACTTGTACAGGAGTACTGCTATTGGCAGACTGCTGGTGTATGATGTACGTTGGGGAGGTTTGTTGCTATCTTTTACTACTTTTCTGTGCACATTTGCCATATCTATCGTTATTTATTTCTGTCTGTCATTGCGGCACTGGAGTGTGGTGGGAACGGTCGGGTCTACTTCTTTCACTTGTTTTCGCCTGCATTATTCTGACATCTGACTACATGGGTTGCGAAGGGCGAGGGAACGCATTATACTATTACTGCGGAGTTACTGGCAAACGAAGGATTCTGCTCGATTATTAGGACCAATCCTCTGCAAGAGGATAAGCAATACGAAGATGTTGTGAGAGACCATGTTCCGTGACTATTTTGTCTGATCACCCCATGTGTACATTGTAGAACATAGGACAGCCCGTCCGTGAACGGAGTCTGTGCATCCGGACGGAGGCACTTCGGCGATCAACTCGCGCCACTATGACTCACCGCAACTATGATGGCAGAAGTGGTGGTCAGCCGGTGATAGAGACAGCATCGAGCATCCACGGTCGGGGCGTTTCCGGTGAGTCACACGGAGGCCTCAGGCAGGCGCCGAAGTCGGACAAGGCCGGAATCACCGGATGCGACCGGAAAGTCACCTGCCGACCGTTAGAGTCACATGGAGCCTACTAACCGGAATGGTTTAGCGTGGATCAGATAAGATCAGATCGTGACCTTCCCCTCACGGTGACACCACTTCCTTGCCGGGGCACCGTGTTTCCTCCCTTTATCCCTCTGCCATCCTTTTTCTTTTTCCTTATCTCTTATCCATCCTCTTATCCCTTTCATCTAAGCAAAATCTCTACCTTTCATCTATAGGACAGCCAACCCCTACACCATGATGATGGCCCGTCCACTCATCACGACCTTCTTCTCCGCACTCGTCCTCCTAACCCACCTCCTCCACGTCGGTGCCAGCCCTCTCGCCGAACAAGCTCCTCTCACCGAAACCGACACCACCACCTTCGACACACACTACAACCTCGACACCGACACCGACACCCTCACCCCCTCCTCCGACCTCACCACCAACCTCGCCCCCCCATCCTGGTTCACCTCTACCCTCCTCGCCCGCCGCCTCCTGGCCCTCTCCCGCACCGGCACCGCCTCAACCATCTTCCCCTCCCCCATCCCGCCCAACTCGCACACACCCCCCTCCCTAGCCGGCCACTCCACCACCCAAACCGAATACCTCGCCGACTGCGACCCCCACCTCCCAGCCAACGACACCTCATCCGAATCCCCCCGGGGGCTCGGCAACCCGACCTTCCTGGCCCTGCACGTGGCCACCACCTTCCGCAACACCGCCGCGGGGTCCAACATCTCCCTCTCCCTGGACTGGTGGGACCACGTCAACGACACTTCCCCGCTCTGGCCGGGGTTTCCGCTTAGCGAGGCCGGATTACCCCGCGTCACGCTGTTCGGGTACGTCGAGCCGTTCGAGACCCCCGTGCCGGAGGCTGTGGAGAGCGCTTTGCGGAAGTGTTTTCTGGAGAAACATCCTGATGCGGAGGCGTGGTTGCCGGGCAAGGAGGGCGCCCCGCATAGTAGTTATTGGGCGAGGTTGAGGGTCGAGCAGGTTTATTGGATTGGGGGGTTTGGCGGGTTGCAGAGGATTGGGTGGTTGAATGTTAGTGAGTGGAGGGGCGTTACGGAGTGGGGAAGTGGTGGTGGTGGTGGCGGGTTTGGAGATGGGAGTGGGAGGGGGTGGGGGGATGTGAGGTTGCCTGGGGAGGAGGAGTAAGCTATTGTGTATAGGGGGTGGAGGTATGTGAAGTACGATGGGTGATGAGGACGGTATGGAGATGATGAGATGATGATATGAGAAAGGAGTGAAGATGACGATGACCAGTGACTATAAGCTACTATGGAGGATAAGGGTAGTATGGACACGATATTGATTATCATATTTGATGAAATATGGATATCAAAAGTGGAATTATCTTGATCCCCTTCACAATAACTATAACCACAATGACCTGCACATCACCCAATGGAGATTTCCCCAAAGACAGACCATTCTCCAAAGCAACGAGTGTCTCTTGGAATCAATCCACGTGGGTACTACACCACCACCATCACTATCTCCTTATCCATGTGTTCTCTCCCAACCACCCACCCCTTCAGACCAACTATCACACTGCTGCTATCCATCCATAAACATCCATCCCCAGAGCCATATATCCCAGAAGAGAGTTTAGCAGAAGCAGTGTCTGGTGTTCAGCTATGGAATTGGCATAGACCACTGTGCCCAGGAAATGCCTATCACCGGGGAAAGTAGTAATACCAGCATCACGTCAGCATCTGTAGACAGGATACTAACCAATCCAGTGAGATAAATTAGATGGATTGGTACAAGCCATTGCTCATAACCACCCAGCGATGAGCCCGATCGGCCTTTGTCAAGGGCAGGAGTATCCATACCACAACTCACGGAAGGTATATGCATAAAGATCGCAGCAGCGTCTCTAACAGATGAAGCTCATCCAGAATAGTTCAGCCAGTGTCTGGAAAGGGGCGTTACCAGTATAACCCACACCAATGCACTACCGAGAAGTGTGCGAAGTAGATAGGATTGGTCGAGGTCAGGCATGTCTATCGTTGAAGACGTTGTGAAAGGCGGAATCGGTCATTTCGTAGTAGTAGATGGTATAGTTCCCGGTTCTTGGAAAAATATATCATTCTTCTGGGTCATTTCTTTTGTATATGAGGTGAGGAGTGGAAGATTGTTTTTGAGATTGAAGCTCCAAGGTCCTTGTGGCTTGTGTTGGTGTTGGCAAGTAGCCATAATATATCCATCAGTGTTGGAAAGGGACTTGACTGGCAACACCACATCGCCGTCTGTAGGCAGCGTGTTGAATATAATACCCCAGTGAGGGATTTATATGTAGATACTAGACCCGACTAGCCTCGACTTGGAAGAAGGGAAAAAGGAAAGTAAACCCAACCCCAGAAAGGGAACCAGATATCTTGAATGTACGCGGTTTCAGGGTCCCCTAACTGGTTATTACCAATATTTCCCAGTGGATACATAAGCCAGAGAACGATCCAGGACAGAATTGATATTCTCCTCAGTGTCTTTTCTGGATGGGTTGTTCTAATTTAATTTGTATCTTGTTTATTAGGATTTGACCTTAGGCAAGAGAGTTGCGTGGTATCGTGGTTGAGAGGAAGCCATTGTAGACATGATTGTTCAAGTTGGTTGTTACTGGCACCGTTACTTGTATCTCCCAGTGAAAAAGCCAGAGTTCCATCAGGGAGTATTGTCGAGGCTTATCTCTCTTTTCCACCTTTGAGTTCCGGACGAAGTGGAATCCTGTTGGAAGAAGCCAATGTCTGGGTTCTTCTAATATTTCAGTATATAGCTCATGGAGCCAGCAGGGACTAGAAATAATATTGTCTTCGTTGTCTCGATGTGTCCGTCGAACTGCCCTTGACTGGTGTGTCATGTTATGCAGACGGGATTGACGATTAGGAGACAGAACTTGATGGTAACGACGACCAAGCATGGAAACACCATGCAGCTGGCTTCATGGATTGTCTGATTCGTTCGGTATAGAATGATATAGTTCGTTCCAGCCAAGGCAACCTGCATCATCTGTAGCGCTAGTAGGTATTGGGTGCAACACCGGTACCGACACGGTTGCTTTGTATGTTTCTTCTAGTTGACGGAATTTCATTAGTAGATTCAGCTGGCGTCTGCAGATTGCGTGACTATATCTTTATGTCGCAGGTCATTTCTGTATATCAGCTGGTTTGGCTACTTCTTCGAATCACTTGGAAAATATGAACCGGCAATTGACGGAGTCAGGAAGACAGTTTCATAGTTCATGCCAAGCCCATCATGGCTCTCGTATTCCGCATACTGCCAGTAAGAATTCATCTTTGGGCTGTAGTGGTTGAAAGGATGCAGCTTTTCGTCAGTCGCAACATCCACCCACTCACTAGCCGCGTAGGAAAGTAGTTGCACAGTCCGAAACACTCGGGATTATCTTCCCGATGAAAGAACCAAGTTTGCAGTCTTGTCAGCGATGAAACCTGTTTGATCTAGAGAATGAGCGTATATTGTAACTTGTGGTAATGCCCGTGGTAAGCCCATGTGTAAGATATACCGAGTTGAGATTTGCTTCGAGATGAAGGAAGGGAATAAACGAAGGCATGAATTGTATGAACCGATTCTCCTAATTTGTCTTTGTTGACCTCAGTTGATCTCCGGACTGGAAAAAATGTGGACATCGGCCACGCATTCGTCACTTTGCCCTTGCCACAGACACGGACCAGCCACGAGCTTTGCCGTCTGGCTTGCCTGTTTCGTTGGCTCTGACCGAGCCTTTTAGAGAGTAGCCGGAGCTATGGAGGCTTCAGGACTTCGACTGCGCCGACTTTCAGCTAGGCTTGAAGTAACTCGTCATTCTAGAGGAGTTTTATCTATGAAAGATTCTCCTTATAGCTCTTCTCTCCTTTACTAGGAGTCCAGGGATCCCTGTAAAGTAGCTCTTGGAGACCGGACGTCGTGTTCTTCTCAAGTGCCATGATTTGATCCCTGATTTCCTTTCCCTCCCCAAAACAAACGCCTTCAGTGACGCTGCTGGAGGTTTCAGATGTGGCAGACTATTCATGTTTATCTTCATTTTCATCACCGCATTGGATAGACCGCTTGCTTGCAGTAGTTGGTATGCTGATGTGAAGTCCAGGAAGATAAATGTGTTGTTTCAACAGAGATAAGAGAGGCTTTATATGGTCAAGAGGAATAAGATGAGACCTGAGGTGGTATAAGCAGCGCGGTAGTCATCATTCGACTCGCTATCTGGACATAGCGCATCACTGTATCAACTGGTATACACGACCTGCTTCTCGCCTCTGTGAGCTAGTTGGAGAAAGAAAGAGAAGTACCGAAAATGTGCCCATATACCTGCACTAATAAGCGGAGATGGTACTGCGAATAGCGAGGATTGTCACCCGGAGGACGTGCAACAGCATTTCGCAGTGCACAGCAATGCGTCTATGTTGAGAGAGTCAAGAGACCACATTCAGGATTTAAAGCTGAGCTGTGGACTGCCAGACATGCATGCCTGGGGAGATTCAGAAAGGCGGAAGTTAGGATCGTCCCACTTCAATCGCTGGAGTATGCGTACCCTCGTACCCGCGGATGAGCCCAGATCTCGTAGTGTTGGAATTGTTCGATCATGGCATATTGGTCACTGGTGAGCCTAATAGGAGCAAGGACTGCTACAGTAGATTCTCCGTGCCTTTCTTTACCTGACCGGTGAGATGTCATATTTGATATTGATTTGTTTCTGACAATTCACGTTCATTCTGAACAAGATTGCTCTTGGCATGTTCTATGAGATGAACGTGTCCTCATTTCAACATCGACAGTGGCCGATGCATATCGTCGTTGATATCCGTATAAAGCTTTCAACAACAAAGATGTGTCATTGTTGTAGACGTTTGGTTTAGGCGGATGCTTTCATGCAGCTTCATTTCGTTAGATGTTGCCTTGTCACTTATGCCCTGGCCAACCACATCATAGGTGGATTGTGGCCTTTGATGGAGACGTTCAGAAGTTTGAAAGCCAATCAGTACTATATAGTTACTCGTAGCAGGAAATTTCACTGCTTTGTGTGGTTGGCTTGTTGTTGTGTTCTGGAGTGAACCGCCTTGGGAGTAGCAGCGTAGCCACGTACCCACGCAGGCTTCTCTGTGTTGACACATTTCGAAGTAGCAGAGCATATCGGTACTCTATAGTCGAGTGTGGCAGGTAAGTATACTCCAATATGTCTTTGGATTGCTTGTTCGTGTGGTGTGAAGTGCAGGCCGCATTTGGAGTGGGTGTCAGGAGCACGAAGCGTAGCCACATAGCCACGGGGCTCTTTCTCTGTAATGGCTCATTCCGAAGTAGCAGAGTTTATCATTTCTGGATAGATCGTAGCAGGAATTCTGACTTTCGCGTCGATGGTTTGTTGTCCTGCTCTGGAGTGGAAGCCGCCCAGGACCACGCAGCATGCCACGTATCCACGCGGGTCCCTGTAGGTAACTTGATGCCATGAATGTTTAAAGCCGAGTATTATGGTGATGTCTCCTATGCGAGGACAAAAAGTTGGCTAAAGCTCTGTCTAACTTTGCCACTTTCCATTGACAGATTTCATCAATCCCTGCTTCCTCGAGGTGATCCCCCACTTCCCAGCTCGATTTATCCTTGCCAAAAGGTTGCGAATATTTTCTTTTCCCCCCTGCTTCACCAATCTGCATGAGTTCTTGAACCTGGCTAAGTCCAATTCGTCGCTTTAGGCCATGAGATGTTTCTCGGCACAAGCACGAGTCCCACAGTTCTTTCCAGAAAGGGGCGACTAGGTCGGATTTTAGCCATGATTTCCATTCCTCTGTAGTGCCCAGATTCAATGCTTGCTGGAGACTCTTTCGGCCTTTTCCAAGGTTGAGCTTGATGGGCTCATCATCATAACCCCCTTCCAAATCCACGTCTAGTTAAAGGTCAGCTAAGGCCATGATTGGCAAAAGTAACTACACCTACCAAATATTCTTTCCGGCTTTACAAGGCTTGTTGAGCTAACAGACAATATCAGAATATGGGTTGCGGACAGTGTACCTTAAGATAAGTCCCGATGAGCATCAAAAGAAGCTGGAGAGTCAAGGTCTATCTCCTTAGATTGCCTCATCCTCTTCGGCAGTGAGGGACTTCAACGCTTCTTTTTCCTTAATCCGCTTAGAGTGGCGGCCCCCATCAACTGGGTCACCCGGGCGCTTTTCAGCGGTTGACGCTAATGAGGGTCCTGTATTAGCCTTTTACAGCAAGCACCTGTTAGGGTCGTAACTCACCTCTAGTGGTCCCGAAGATGGCGGTTCCCCTCATGGGCTTGCCATCT